CCCAAACAGTTTGAGCCAGACAACCGTCTTCCATATCCAGAGAGCCTAGTCCAGTCCCATGAGGGCTCCACAGCCACCAGCCCACAGTTCATGGGCTTCCACTAGTGTGGCTGGTCATCTCTGCACGTCCTCCCATTATGATCTCTCCTCTCTCTCATCAGTTGGATTCCCAGAGCTTACTAATGGGTTTTTAAGATAAACACTTCCAGGAAAAGCAATCCATTCACAAGGACATATATCCAGCTGTCTGATGTGTTGAACCAAGGTTATAGGTACAAAGGAAACTAATTGCTATGCCAGCCTTTCTTGCTAAGTCTGGCTGATAACATGGGCCAGTGATTGACTCTCTGCACAAATTCCAAATCTTAGTTTTATGATATAGACATGTAACTTGAAGACTCGAAGTTCAGCCAACTCAGTTTCCTTTTTTATAGTCTAAAGGTACACACAGGGCAGAAAAATATATTTTAACATTTAAAATGCTTTTAGTGTCACTGTGCCTTGGAGAGTGCCGAATGAGCTCATATTAAGAGAATTAAGGCAATAAATGACTTGTTCTTTCTTTGAAGCTGCAGTTGCAAGGTTACAGCCCACCAGTTAAGAAGTTGAGATTTGTTGCATGTGTGTTGCTGGGAGGACTCTGTCTTTTATCATTTACTTAAGAAATTGAATGTGGACTTAAAATGTAATTTCTATATTCAACATAAAAGATTCTGTTGGATATCTATAGCTGTGAAGAACAAAGAGATTGGGAGCCAACATGAGAAATATAGAGCAGCCATCAGAATGCATGTGAGCTCATTCTTTTCCAAAAAAAATCCCTCAGATGAAAGTCCCAAGTTTTGCTATGCTTCAGCTTTCTGTTTGAGCCCTGTCTGCAGCCTGGGGCTGGTCTCAACAGGCTGCAATAGAAGGGGGACTATATTTATATTTTACTTCAGTATCAAATCAGTATCATGTAACTCCTTCAAATTTCAAAGGCTTGTTATAGTAGGTTCTCTTATTACATGCCTTACACAATTCCATATGAATTCTCACAGTAGTCATCCAAGGACCCAAGATGTGCTTTAATCAAGACTAGTGGGGAAAAGTAAATATGTTAAGATAGGCACCTTCATCTCAAATGATGTCATTTCCAGGCTTTTAGGGTCAACCATTCTAATGCTTCTAAAATGTCTGTGGTATAAACAGGATTAGATGTACATATAAATAAATATATATAATATATGCATATTATATAAATCTATATAATTTTTTCTCTATTGTCTTTATTCTCTTCATCTTTGTAGGGCTGAATTTTAAAAAATGTCTATGCTTTTGTTCATACATTTGCAAAAAAGACCAATTTAAAGATAAATGTCAAATCTACAAATTATACATAGAACACAAAATATCTTTGACTTTTCAAATTTTCAGTGGTCATATTCTCTATAGTTTTCATTGTGGGTAGTTACTTTATGCATTTATATTTTTAATTATCAAGTCATTTACTTTGCCTCTTTAATATCAATAACTCTTGGTTTCTAAGACATTCACATCTCAATTTTTGCTGTCCTTTAGTTCTTTAAATATTACATTTGATCTTCACTATTGGTTATTTTTATGTGTTCAGCATATGTGAACTGTATGACATAATAGGTTTTATTATGGTGTTTTCATCTGTATCTAGTCCAGCATTATTTGCTCTTCTTTCTCCTTGTCTTTTCTTTGCTTTTTTTCTCTTCCCAAATACTCCCTGTGATGGTTAATCTTGATCCTAAACTTGACTGGATCAGCATCCTGAGAAAAATTTCTGGGACTGTCTGTGGTGGAGTTTCTAGATTGAGGTAATTGAAGTAGGAAAGCCCATCCTACATGAGGGTGTCACTATTCCCTGGGCTGTGGTCTCAGACTGAATGAAAATGAGAAAGCTGAGAAGAAGCATTCATGTTTCTCTTTGCTCTGTGACTGTGATGTCATGTCTGACTGCCCCACGGTGGACTGTACTCTTGGCCAAAATGAACCCTTACTTCCTTAAGTTGCTTTTGGTGGTTATCTTGTCATGACAATGGGAAAAGTAATGAATAATCTCCCCCTTATACTTGCATGTCTTAAAAAACAACACACCCAGATTCTGCATAGGTGAGAAAGCATGGGATACTTGTCTATTTTACTTTGGCTTATTTTACCTACAGTGATTATCTCCAATTCTACTTTTCTATAAGCAATGCCATTTCATTCTTCTTTGCAGATAAATAATACTGATATATATATATATATGTATATATATACATACACATACATACATATATATACATATACACACACACACACATCTTGTTTATCTATTGACTGGCACTCTTATGTAGCTGTTTCCTCCAATTTGAAATATTTGACTTATGAGATTCAAGAAGGTCACAAAAGTTTGAAGACTTGTCCAGGAAACTGCAAAATTCCCAGTGCCCCTCCCTAAGACATATAAGTGTAAAAATTTGCAAGGAGAATAGGAAATCCTCTTGGGTGGAACAGCTTGCAAGTTGGGAAGGGAGATTGAGGGGAGTATATTTATATTATATTTCAGTATCAAATCAGTATCACATTACTCCTTCAAATTTCAAAGGCTTATTATAGTAGGTTCTCCTATTACATGCCCTACACAATTCTATATGAGTTCTCACAGTAGTCATCCAAGGACCTAGGATGTGCTTTACTCAAGATTAGTGGGGAAAAGTAAATATGTTAAGATAGGCACCTTCACCTCAGATGATGTCGTTTCCAGGCTTTTAGGGCCAACCATTCTAATGCTTCTAAAATTTCTGAGGTATAAACAGGATTGGAGATTATATATATATATGCATATGTACATGTATACATATGTATATAAAATCCAGGGCAATAATAAGTGTCAGTTACATAGTTACTAAGTGTCAGTTATTATCAAAGGAAAGCCAAAGCCCAAATGGCTAAGCTACCGAATTTCACCAGCTGTTTAATTTATAATATCAGTTACTTAATTGATATTAGTTCTTTGTGTGTGGGTATGCATGGGCACCAGAAGGGGGCACTGGGTCTCCCTGTGGCTGGGATTAACGTCTATTGGGAGCCCCGGACATGTGCTGGGAACTGAAGTGGAATCCTCAGAAGAATATTTGCTTTTAAGCATTGAGTCATCTTTCCAGTCCCTGATAGTTTTAAACAGATGTTATAAGTTTATTGTAATTCACTTTTAGAGACCCGTTCTCATTTGTTAGTTTAGGTCTCATTTACATTCATATGAAGAATTTAATTACTTACTTTTTTCTTCTTGATGCTGGGCATTGGATCTAGGGCACCAGCACACTAAGCACATGTTCTTCGATTGAGCTATACCTCAAGCTCCAGTAGATATATTTTAGAATAATGTTGACTTAATGAAAGTTTTATGGTGAAAGCATACTAATGCATCTTCTTTGTATTTACTGTGTATGTATTAATTATGTAGAGTATGTATCATGTTAAAAGGATGAGAATAAATATCTATACACCAACCATTCATGGAAAATTGGTCACAAGTCTACCAATAAATCTATCACTTTTTAATATAGCATATGGAGTTTTTCAGAATGCCAAAAGATAGTTCAATTAAATTTTATCTATTTTGAAAGAAAATACTCAGTTTAGAAACATAAGCCTGATTAACCAATGTTTCATTTGCAGAAAGAAAATAGGGCTCTTGACACCAGGCAACAGACTCATAGGATTTAGAAAATCACAAAAATGTTCACATAATTGAAAATTATTTTTGAAACTGAAAGCCATCTTTTACAATAGTGTTAAATTCACCCTAATGATAACCATAACTTTGAAACATGACTTCTTTGATTATAAGAAATCAATACACAGTCTCAACTACCAGGGGCCTGAAAACACCTGTGATATTTTAAAAATTGTGATGAAAATAATACCACCTAGAAAGAACATTTTCGCAGTTACTTTGTGCCCTTGAGTGTAGTAATATAGCTAACCAAAATGCAAGCATTACAGACAACTAGAAACAGCTATAAATGTGATTATTAGTAACGTGCTAATTTGCTCTTTACAATGAGCAAAAAGTTGGAAAATTATATATGCATCAGTGAAGACTGTAGTAATTAATTACACAAGGTCAAAGTACGATTTCTAGTTAAACCCCAAATGATCCCTAAAATTGGAATTTTCCTCGCTATTCCTATAAATCTCTTCATTCAAGAAGTTGGGAAGTATTGGTTTAAGAAATTTGAACTCATTTGTCCCAGTACCTCCTGTCAG